AAATAAAAGTAATTAAAAGATATAAACAGGCAGTGGCATTGTCTCTTTTCTTCCTTTTCTATAGCAGTCTGTATTCTTGTATGTCTGTCTGCTGTTTTCCCACATGGACCCACTCTGACATTATACTAGGACGCTGACAGGAAAGGTTTTACTGAATTGTGTGATATTGGCATGTATGTTTTGTTTCAAGACATTTATCCTTTGATGCGTCTCCATTCTCACTCACTCTCACTCTAAAAGAGCTGTACTCAGCTAAAAGAGTCAAGTGGTCAGGAGGGAGAAACTAGCGGTGAAATGAAGCATAATAACAGCATTAGCTTACAAGCAGGTGGGAGGGGAGGAGAGAGGCAAGCGGGGTAGGGAGGAGAAGATGGAGGGTTCAGCAGTGTCACCACATGGGGGGTTAGAGGGGTTACGCAGGAGTCAAAGGTGGACTAGCCGAAGGCGGGGGAGTAAGGAGAAGAGGGGGAAGGAGGAGGAGGAGTGTTGATCCAGCACAATGAGTGGATGTCACCTGTTTACACACTCAACAGTGTGCGTCGGTCCTGCCACGTTCTGGAAAGAGACGGTTGCGCAATGTCTCATCCCACAGACACTATTAAAAACAAGCTGTTCTGTAGAATAGTTGTGGAATAATTTGTGCAGGTTTTGAAATATCTGTCCTTGAGATTTCTGCTCCCTCCTGTTTGTGTGCTCACATTGTTACTCTAATTTTGTCCTTTTACTTTAAAAGTACCTCAAGGTTAGGCAAAGACTGTAGTACTGTGGTTCAATACTATCAAGTATACATGTTCTCTCTTATGTTTCACTTCCACCAAAACCGTGACATAACCTCAACCAAGTTCTGTGACTGCCTAAAAATAATTCTTCGCAGGTTTAAAAAGCTTCAGTGAGTTTAAGGTGATATGTATTGTTTTCTGTCGCACATTATCAGCATATTAACATAGTTTCTGCAGCTTTTCAGAGTATTGTGAAAGGATTGTTAAGAGAGCTGTTGCTTCTGCATGTCTGCATACCCTACTGGTTTATAAGTAAGAATCTCTGACATCTCATAACCATCCTTAACACAAAATGAACAGCTTCGGTCTTCAGCTTGCCTGAGTTTGCCAATGGAGGGCCTTCATACTGTCTTGTGGTTGTGTGAATAATAACCGATGTCTGGAAGCAAAGGCAGAAGTGGACGTAATTATCCTGCCACAAAATCCTCTCCAAGAGGAAGTGAGGGATGGTGATTTGGTCGACGAAGCATGTGACTTTGATATTGGATACATCTGTGCACGGCTCAGGTCCTACCAGCAGTCTGCGTTGCACATCATGATTTTTTAGTTGTATCACGGTTTTCACACATTTTTTATCTAGTGGCCACATATAGGGAGGACGTCCGAATAGTTGACTTATCAGCAAAACGTTGACTATAACACAGAAGACTGCTGTTCGGTTTCCCTCTTTCAAACTAAAAGTAAACGTTTGTTTCTTTCCATGAATCCAATGACACATTTAAAGGTACCCTAACCTCAACAAAGTCGTCAAATAACTCAAATCACAATCTCTTCCTAACCCTGTGTAAACCTAACAGCACTTTGAGCACTGCACCATCATAGTGATGTGTAACAATATTGGAAGGCATAGCTCATTTGTGCTACACCTTTAGTTTGAAGGGTTCATTGAATTTGCAGGTGAAGAGACTCTTTAACTTGATGAGTGAAAGGACAGAAGACTAGTCTGTTGTGTCTGCACTAGATAAACACCCCAACCCTGGAGAGATTGTTCCCCAGTATTTCTTTGTCCTTCATTTCCTTTCTTCTACAACATTGTTACGTCATCTTTTCATATTACTGCTCATCCCCAAGCCTTACTGTTTATCCTCGCTGCCTGAAGAAGAGCACCGAGTCTGAAATGCCCCAAAGTATCTGCCGGTATGAGAAGTCTTCTATTTGTTCTTTCTATTTATTCTAAGTGTATTTGTGCTTAAACTGAGCATATTAATGTTTTTCCATTTCTCTGAAATCAACAGTTCCCGTGATTTTTCTACCTGTCTTGTCACAGTGCTGCTCAGTGTTTGGTCCGAACAGAGGGGAGCTGGAGAGGGAGGTGCAGGGAGCAATAGAGGGGAAGAATGTGGCCATTGTGCTTTCCAGGTATGTGTGTGTGTTTGTGACAAACAGAAAGGGACGGACAGGGAGAGGGTGATCAGATCTTGTTACAGGTGTTTCATAAACACCACAATACTGCAAACGGGTTCTCGCTATCGCTATCGCTCTCTCTCTTTCTCTTCTCTTTCTCTCTCTCTCTACTTTGGTGGATTAGGCTTATGGATTTGTCACACACTCAAACACACACACTAACACACACTCAGCTTTGTGCAGCTATCCTTCTTAGGACTTTGAATAGACTTCCATTCATTATGGACAGCCTACACCAAACCTTATCCTCAACCTTAACCAAGAACATTCTTATACACACACACACACACAAAAGACACGCATTTGACTGAACAGTGCCGTCCCATCAAGAGCATGAGATGGTCATGTGACAGTCAGGTGACATGACTATATACTACGTGCGTGTGTGTAATTCATTTTTTTGTCAAGTTAACATAAAAAAAAACAGTGATCTTGTATTGTGCTTCCTGTTGCCCTGTGTTTGTCTAATGTCGAGTGTCTTCCTGAAACTAGAGCTGGTACAAACATGATACCAGGTCACGCTAAAAGAAAAACTCCTGATATAAATTCCTGTCTTGGGACGAATGTCTGTCCCCTTTATCAAAAATGTTTTGTCATCGTGGAATGTGATACAGAGGTTTGAAATGAGATAAGTATCTAAAAATGGTTCACCTGTTGAACCTGCTCGCACAGTCAGTACATTTGAATAACTCACTCTGACACATGTACTGACAATTTAACTGGTGTATATTTTTGGTTTTGGTTTGTGTGTGAGACAGTTTGATGTCAATTCATCACACACACACACACACAATGACATGTGTGTATATGAGGTGATAGTCACTATGCTCCTCCCTGTCCTCCATCTCTGAAGGAGATTTTTAGGAAACAGTAACTTAGTGCATCAAGATAACTTTTATCTCACATTACAGCAACTACGAGCTTTAAGAATCCATCTACATCAAACAATCATTATACGATTTAACACCCAATCTTCTTTTACACAATGAATTCTCTGTAAATGTGTTGGCTTTGAAAATATTCTAGTCTTAATTTCACTTTTTGAGGAGATACTGATTAGTTTGTTAGTTTGAGATATTAAAGTCCACTAAAAGTAGCAGCTTCATCATTTTGTCCTTGAGAAACACACACATGAAAGGACAGTCCAAACTGCAGTTGAGGAAATTTGAGATGTAAATGTAGTGTTTGTGAAGAGTGTGAAAGAGACGGCTGCCCAGCTGGATTCCCCCTTTACACACAGAGACACATGTGCACCCACACATGTACCATGTGCATTCACACAACTAAATCTCATTTGTTCGAAAAACAGGACACCCAAGGCTAACATGGCACCCTGCTCAACCAGTTTCTGAAACACACACACACACACAAACATACAACGACAACTAGACGAGACAGATACTGATTAAGCACACACACGCACGCATGCACGCAGGCTCACACACACACACACAGACACACACTCATCCCCATGAAAAAAAATAAACAGCGAGTCCCTGTCCCACAACCTTGTAGTGAAGGTTACAGCAGTCAACTGGGTCAGAGTGGACCAGCTGAAGAAATGTCCTTCCAGTTACCCACTGTGTGTGTGTGTGTGTGTGTGTGTGTGTGTGTGTGTGTTCTCCCTCATCTCTCATAATACACAGCAGAGTCAACCATTTAGATTAAAGTAAGTTAGAACAGAAAGGACTGAACAAGAACAAATGACAAGTTTTCAGCCAACCTGTGGGATGATGGGATGTGTAGTCGCTGTCGGTTCTTCTGCCACCGTTTCAAAAAGCAACAATCCGGCTGATCACTTTCTCATCTTCCCTTCCTCCTTCCTCCTCTCCTTCCTGGCACTCGTCTGTCAGGTTCTCTCCGGCTGTCAAGGTGCCTCCTTTCTTCAATGACAGGTTCCCCCAAAGCACAATCAGAGAGGAGATCTCAGACACGTCTGACAAACACAATGCACACACTCACACACAGAGACACCGAGAGAGAGGACAAGTCAGAGTTTCTGTTCTTCTTTTGGTGTTTTTTTGGATTCTGACTCAGATCCTCTCAGCTTGTCCTCTCCTTTGCCACGACAGAGGCTCGTAGACGCAACAGCAGGAGACAAGAGGAGGGATGGGGGGAGCGCAAGGTCTCAAAGTGGAGGAGAGAGCGTAGAAGGTGGTAGAGTTGAAGGAGAGAGCTAGAAGGAGAGAGAGCGAAGGAGGGTGAAGGTAGGGAGGGAGGAAGGGCTGTGGTAATTAGTGAGTCGGTACCTGACTCTCACTGACATAAGCCCCACATTCCTCAGAACCGAGGCGGGGGAGAGAGGCGAGGGAGGAAGAAAGGAAAGAAAAAGAAGAAAACTCTTAAAAAACACACCCCAACGACAACACACTAACGATCCCAGGAACACAACAGAGATTAAACGTTCTTCATCCACACTAGACACAGAAACCTGACTTCCTTACAGCACAGCGTGGCTCATAGCGTCATAGCTGCATGATGTGGAAGCTGAAGGTGCTGCTGCTGCTGCTGGAGCTTCACCGTCCGTCACCTCAACCCCTTGTGTTCAGGTGTCTATTCCTCTTTCGCCTCTTTTCATTTTGAGAAAACCTCTCTCTCTCTCTCTTTCTCTTCCTCTCCCTCTGTCTGTTTGTTTCTCACTCTCTTGATCTGTGTATGGTGTACACACTGCTCACTCCTGAAACTCACCAAACCAGAATCTGACTGCCCAAACCCCCAACACACCTCCCTCCCTCCCTCACTCCTATCATTCCGGATGGGAAATGCTATCCTCTTGTGGCCCTGGCCAATCTTTGTTTGTGTGTGTGTGTGTGCGTGTGTGTCAATGTGTGTGTGTGTATGTGTGTGTGTGCACGCGCAAACAGCCAGACTTGCAGCTAGAGCTGCATTCTTCTGAAGGAGTTTCCAACACCTAGTCGCCACATGATCACATCGACCGCATGCTCTTTACTGATGAGCACACACGAGGCCGCCTGTGCTCATTCACAAATATAACCCCCCCCCGAGGTCATGATGACATGCGGCCTTAATGTTATAGTGACGTACATGTATATCCCTCTATAATTACGTCTTTCTGTAATAACAACCCAATCGTTTGAGCATGAACGTGACACACAGGCAGACGTGACCGACTACACTGGAGGTGGAGGTAGCTGAAGCTTTAAGTGTCTAATGCAAACACACACTCGTCTTTGTTGAACTGGCTCCTGCTGTGAAGCTGAAGTGAAAGTAAAACAGTGAAGTTAACCTACACGATACTGGCTCAACTGGTGTTTCTCATTCTCCACCTTCACGTTTTGTTCTCACCCCACCCACTTTTATTCTCTCAAAGCAACAACATCTTGCTTGTTTTTTACATTTTAACACAACAGACCTCCAGTATACACCTCAGCAGTCCGTGTGTGTGAGTGTGTGTGTGTGTGTTTGTGTGTGTGTGTGTGTGTGT